TAGTATTGACATTATAGGGCCTCATTGGTTAGTATCATCTCAAAATCTCTACAAGTATTGACGCCATCACTTGAGTACATGCACACAATCAGTCCAATATACTTGACAGTCATTTGTCTCCAAGCGTCGAGTTGTTGATCATTTAAACCAGTTGCAAATGTATAGGTAAGAGACATAATGTGTAGAAAGTCAATATATATCCCCTAACCCGATGAAGAGAAAAAAACTCCATTGATACACTTTTACCTATGCCTGATACATTTGTGAATCCACAAAGTTTAATTACCCACTTGCACCTACTAGGCTCATAATAAACAAGAACCAAATAAATTTTGGATACTACGCCATCCAAGTCGACTTCTTTGTAGTTATAACAAGAGAATATTTCTTCTCGATCATGTCTCTAACTTTTATTAGTCAAAACTAGTACTGTATCACAATCTTCATTCCTCTTATAAGTATAATACACTAATTAGGTTAGCCAACAATTTTTAGTTCTGAACACCTCTGAAGGCAATTAGCTATTGCTGTTTACCTTTATTTTTATTTTGTCTTTAGCTACTATTTATATTATCTTAAGGTTGATGAATTTATATTTTTGTAGTGTTGCGCCAAATTAGTGAGTGACTGTCATTTAAGCATACGCTAGTTGAACTATTACCTCTCCCAGTAAACTAATTCCCTAATTTTCTAACCGATTCTGCATGAGTCTAGCGACTCTACTCCGTAGGATCAATCCAGACATTACAGAAACTTCGAAGCATAACAAAAATATAAAAAATCAAACCTATTTTTGGTTGGATACGGAGAGAAGAAGTAACATAGGCTGGTGAAAGCCTCCGGGAAACCAACCGGCTGTAGAGTCTTCTCTCGATGATAGCGAGAATAAGAATGAGGACGTGGAATGTTCACACGATGTGCGAAGCTGAGAAGGCTGCCCAGGTAGTCAAAGAAATGAGGAAATAAGGCATGGAAGTGCAAGAAATCTGTGAGAGCAGGTGGAATGGATGTAGACCATCGAAATTGTCAACTGGAGTCAGTAATCTACTCCGGTCACTAAGACGACAACCACGACCACACTGAAGGAGTGGCTATCATGATGTCATCAGTGGCATTCAAAGCTCTTATGTGATGGTAACCAATCTCCTCAAGGATGATGACATCAAGACTCAAATCAAAAGGAAGGGGGTTTACCATTGTCCAATGCTACGCACCAAAACATTATTCCGAAGAATAGAAAGATGCAAACATTAATGGACAACATCACAGTCCTTATGGGTGATAGGGATGATAAGGTAGCAGCACACAATGAGCCAAGTTCTAAATCCAGTCATTGTATTTTGTCACTGAGTAGACATGTATGAAAGAACATTGAAACTCTCTGAAGGTAATGTTAAAGGAGACATGCATAGCCATCCTAGGAAGAAAGAATAGACAAGACAAGGAATGGCTCTAAACGGGCACCTGGAGTTTAAGAGAGAAGAATTGCGACAGAGAAGATGACTCAATGCAAAGATGGAGCTAAGTTTAATGTACACTGCACTGAACAAAGAAGTGAAGAAGGGTACTAGGAAGGACAAAAGACAATTCCACAACACACTGGCTGGCAAATGAAACAGGACAGTCAGGCCGCATGTGAAAGAGACCTCAGAACACTATGTCAGATAACCAGATCTCTATCCGGGAAGAGGTCAGAACAGGAGAAACCTATAAAGGATGTTCAAGGGAACCTAATTAGCAAGGAGAAGAAACAATTAAAACAGTGGACTGATCACTTCAAAGTACTCTTCAATCGACCATCATCTGCAACTTTTCCAGAAATACCACCACCAGCACCTACAGTACTGCCAATGGGAACCAGTGCTCCAACGAAAGCAGAAATATTGAATGCGATCATGCTACTGAAGTCCGGGAAGGCAGCAGGATCAGACAGAATTCCTCCTGAAGCACCGAAGACGGACAACGACATCGTAGCGAGTATGATGAAGTCATTATTGCAAGACGTCTGAAAGGAAGGAAAGCTGCCTAATGATCGGAAGAAAGGTTATCTTTTCAAACTACCAAGGATGGGCGACTCATGCCTCTGCAAGAACCGGGTACTATTTGCTATTTGGAACGTGGCAACTTGAAATGCTGCACTTCGGTGCCAAGTTCTATGTTGAATCCAGCCAAGAACCGGGTACACGCCAAACAAAATACTAAGTCGCGTCATCATGGGAAGAATATAAGATGCACAGGATGCAGAACATTGCCCGAAGTTAGCTGGATTCAGGAAAGGCAAGTCATGTGCTGATCAAACTACAGCACCACGAATTATCGTAGAACGGAGCACAGCATGGCAGTGAAAGCTCCGCCTAAACTTCCTCGACTTCGGAAAGGCCTTCGACAGTGTCCACCGAGAAGTAATTCGGAAACTGCTTCAACACTATGGAGTGCCGCAAACTGTTTAGCAACCTCATTCAACAGCTGTATAGCAGGGTCACATGTTAGGTGATCCACAACGGAAAACTCAGAGGCGTTTGAAATGAAAACACGAGTAAAACAAGGCCTCCCACTACCGCCGATTATACTACTGACTGTGGTGGACTCTATTATGCGGAAGACTGTGGGGAACGAGAAGACGGACGTTGGACCGATAAGATGACTCTGAAAGATCTGGATTTCGCGGATGACTCATGTCTAATGTCGCACAAACTCGAAGACTTACGGGCGAAAACCAACAAACTGACTGAAGAAGCAGCGAAGACAGGGCTTCAAGTGGACACAGAGAGGACAGAGGTGATAGAAGTAACCAACCAAAAGCAACAAGCACCAATCAGTACCAAGTGACAAAGGTCACTTCCTTCGCTTATCTAGGCACCATCGTTTCAGCTACAGGCGGCACGGATCAGAATGTCCAAAGCAGAATCGGGAAGGCAAGACAGACCTTCATCACTCTGAAATCAGTTGGGAAATCTGGTGCACTCAACAGAAAGGACGAAATCGGGTTTCAACACCAATGTTAAGTCAGAAGATGCTTCCGTATACGCCACAGACATGACGCGTCATGAAAGAGATTTCTAACAGGTTGCAAGCCTTTATCAACAGCCGCCTTCACTTCATACTGAAGGTCGAGTGTTCAGTCAAAAAGAATTAGCAACAAGAAGCTCTGGCATTGAACCAACCAAGTGCCTGTTGCTCAATAAATATGCCGAAGGTAATTGAGATGGATTGGACAAACTCTGAGGAGACCATCGGGTGACATCGCGCACCACGCCTCAGTCTCGAGTGGAGCCCGAGTGGGAAATGAGTAAGCCGTCCGAAAGTGACATGGCAGAGGTCATGTGAGATGATAGCTTATGGGCGATAGTGGGATTAGCTTAAGGGAACTGAAGAGGACACGACAAAATGGAGATGTGCTGTTGAAATCCTCTGTTCCACTCGGAACCTAAGGCAATGACAATTATTGTAATGAAAATAATAATAGTTGAACTATTCCTATGAAAGATATTAGCAAAATAATCGCGTGCTTTGATTGGTTATTAAAAACTTGAAATTTATATATGGGGTGAATTATATCAGTACTACATAATTATCAAAACTTAAATTCCATTTTAGAAGCATGAAATGTTTATATATGGACCCGGTTACTACAAAAAAGTCTACGGAACTTCAATTATGAAAAAAGCAATACGTAAGGTAAAGTTATTCAACAAATTCACTGTGAGTACGATATATGCTCCATACTTATGCCCAGTCGCTCTACTGAGAAAGATTTGAACCGTGTCAGCAACGGTCTCCAGCTGCTTGACTTTTAGTTGAAGAATACACTAGTACCATGATGAGCTATTCTGTGACGTATCACCACAAAACACTATTGGTTGAGATTATCCGTCCATATTTATATATACCGTATATATGCCTATATGAGACACGGGGGCTTCATTGAAGATATTTCTTACCGGATTATTGCTGAGTAATTGCAGTAAGTTACCAGTGATACTATACATAGCTGGTAGTTCTGTTTGCTCTCTCAGTTCATACACGAACACTACAAAGCAAGGATTTGAAATGCTAGAATACTTAAGATATTAGGAATGAGCGGTTTAAGACTTAAAATGATGGCTTACAAACATGTATTCAATCCTTGTCGATTTCACTTATTTATTGCCTCTTTCTTAACACGTTTGTTCACTTTAGTGTCACTTCGCCTATCAACCCTTTATGTGTTACATAAAAGTCGAGCAACTCGAATGAATGCACCGTTGAGTACAGGTTAGAGTTGAGTCAACACTAACGGATAATCGTTTTGCAAGAAAATCACGGTACAACAAGAGCAAAAAAGAAATATCGCGGATGGTCAAATGAGATGTGGAGAAAAGATATATACATAGAGTATTAGGAGTTAAGTGAAGGTAAGGATGAAGATTTAGTAGCATACATACAGAGCATCTAAGAACAAAAATAGGTATTTACGCCTTGATTTTTGTACAAGACTACAATATCCGTAAAACTGAATTCTAACTTTGTCGGAATCCTACATTAGGGCAAGCAGAGGTAACACAGGCATACACGATACAGAGCTAAGTACTGCGACGATAGATCTCACTGATAGGCGAAGATAAAATCAAGCATAATATTAAACAAACAACTTAAGTATTTTTGCGGACTAAATGCTCAATATCTGAACAGTGCTCACTGAGATTACCCAATTTCTAATCTGACAAAATGACTACACTATACTGAAAAACTGGGACAGGTTGGATATCTTCCTGTACTGAACAACTTACTATTCTACTGCCGAACCAAGATTACGACTAATCCACTTCTGAAGTAAGATTATATTGTGTACTACAGAGCTAGGACGTGCATGGATATTTTAACACCTAATGAGACGATTAAATTTACTCATTTGGATTCCATACCACCCAGGTAGTCAATCTCGTGAAAGACATACCGTGGTACTAACTTACAGATATACTTAAACACAATTAAACCAATGGCAAAATTCAACATCTCACCTTGTTTTCTTAAAGCTACTGCTTTTGCTTTAGCAGAACTAAGGGCGGATACCCATTTCTTCTGCTCACTTTCAGAATTCGCCTTCAGATGAAAAGTTTGTGTACTACTATTGGAAATGACAAACGTAGTAGACCCTGTGCTTTTCACAATGGCATTAGCAAGGTTGATAGTGCCACGACATGTGTGAGCCATTTCTGCTTGATTTCTAGTAATTGTGAAAAATTAAAATGCCACTTTATACCTGTAGTATGATACCAAACCATTTTGCAGGACAAACCAACGCTTCTGATATCCTTTCAAGTAGTTTGTCCACTTATAAAGATAACCCTTCATAGAATCCATCTGAGCATCGAACTACCTCAAACTAGACCACGACCTTCAGTAGGTTTCAATGTTTTAATTGTGCTACGTTACTTCAGCTTCGAATACCTCTGCTACAAGTAATAAATAGGAGTTTTTGCAGTAGCAAAAAACGGAAAACGGTTTTCGATCAGGAAAATATCTCATTTTCATGAGAGTGAGCCGTTCTCTCTACCATAAGCTGGTAGAAACTTCCGCTACACCAGCTCTAGCCCAAACATTTTAATCATGCGTCTACAGTAGTTAAAATGTAAAACTCCCAGCTCCAGGGAGACGTTGTTGCGCCCACATATCCAAGTTAACAGTTGCCGCAGTGTCCTGGACGAAAGTCTGAACTAGACCAAACCTGTGGAAAGCTGATTTAAATGCAATCAGTTTCGCTGTCCTACCACAAATCTCGATTGTAAATCTGGAAGCCCATAAGAATGCTGCATTAAGTCAACTGAAGCAAATTTACGCTTGGGTTATGTTAGAGGTCAAAAGGTTTTCAGGGAGCCTTTGCAGGAGTGGATTATTCACAAGTGAAGTTCCAATTGCTCAGTTGCTGAACAGACTTCGAGGAGGGACACTGCTGTGATGGAGCGGCGCAACTCCGTCCAGCAACTAATTAGGTCAGTAGTCCCCGTAATTCCTCCTATCGTCGTCTGAATTCCCCTCAATGGTCAAATTCTAAGTCACGTCCACTTAACAACCCTTAACTGGCGTTGGTATCACAATACCTATGGTCAGGAAGCGAAAAGTTGTGGAAACCCTATATTTTCGCTCGAAGACTATGGGAAACTATCACGCCGGTACGCGTTAGCGGCAACCGTCGCTGGTGGCAGTAGCCGCCTACTTTACATCCATGATGTAGTCAACCACAACCAATACTAAGTCGACACAGGCACTGAATTCAGCATCCTTCCTGCTACAGTAGCAGATCGGAAGTAGGAACCTACCTTCAACCTACATGCTGCAAATGGAAAACCAATTACAACCTTTGGTAGGAAATACATATGTCTGAACGAAGGTTTACGCAAACCTATCCACTGGATTTTCCTTCTCGCTGACGTCACAATGCCCATTATTGGCACGGACCTACTTAATCATCATGATTTACTCGTAGACGTCCGCCGAAAACGACTGATAGATGTACCACAAAGCTGCCTATCAAAGACGTCAACTACGTAGGCTATAGCTTGTCACTAATTAAGATGAAAGCAATCCTTGATCCAACTTTTCAACCAATTGTTGATAAGTATCCGAAACTGAGTTACCCGTCTAACCAGCAATGTTATGCACCACATCATAACCTCGGGACAGCTCGTGACACGACGACTTGCTCCTGACAAAATGAGAACCGCCAGAAACGAGTCCAACCATATGCTAACTCTTGGCATCATTCGACCATTGAATAGCCCATGGGCATCCCCACTGAATATGGAACCGAAAAAAGATAGCAACGATTGGCGACCCACTGGCGATTACAGGCAGGTGAACGCAAAAGCAGCCACTGATTGCTAACTATTAATAATAGTATATTCTCATTTTTCTTTACATGAGGGACGCCAGTTTACAGGCGTCATCAATTCGATAAATTACACATACGATTAATAAGTATAGTTAGTAATGATAATATAATAAGGTACATATTTATTCATTCAAATATAGGACACACAAGTTGTATAGGAATGGATAAGAATTATTTAAGTGACATATTTAAATTACATGATTTACGGTTAAATAACATGGTTGTTGTCATTTTATCTTTAGTTTGTGGGGAAAATCGGATAACTGGTGATTCAATGGAACACACCAACAAATATAGAGATATTGACTTCACATTAACAAAAAAAACCCAAGTATGCGTTGGATGGATTACATATACTTGGGAAAATAAATAAAGCTTGAAGTCAATTCCCTCATAAAACAATAAAATGCGTCTTACAATAATATATTCCCACTTTATGCACATGAGGGACTCCAGTTGACAGGCATCAACAATATGATAATAATGCACACACGGAGTAAAAATGCTTAAAATTTTTCACTAACACGAAATATATATACAAGGGAAGATAATGAAATATTGACCGTAAGTACACTCTGCATAAGTTAAAACAGTTTATGTGGCATAATCCTAGGCACAATTATTGTTTGAATTTGTTGAACATGAGCGAAACAACTGAGTGTTGCGTTACATTCGGTCGATATGGTGGGCTAGTCACAAAAGTATAAAAATGGCTTATAAAACGTTACTCAGTTTACCGTAAACGATGTTTTAAGCAATATAAACTGCAAAAGGCTCACCACAGCAGTTAGTATCCAGTTAAACATGCAGAGAAGTAATTATAATTCAGCAACTGGTGAATTTTTTATTCTTTTCGGTCTGGAACCTGAGTAACTGCGAACCAATCCATACAAAATTGTCGAAAGAGGCATTCAGGAGCAGAATTTTGCCATCGAATGAGTCATTGGGATCTGAGATGCAGCTATCAGCATATTTTCGTCATTTCATAGATATCCAGATTTATTGACGCTGTATAGGTAGTGATTTGGATTTGTCTCAAATACACGACTTGACGCAACATTATCTGGTGCAACCATATTGACGAAAATAGATTTGGTTAAAGCGTATGACCAAATAGAGATGGCACCAGAAGATATTCCGAAAATGTCTATCATTACACCTTTCGAATTTCTACGTATGCCGCTTGGCCTCCGGAATGCAGCACAAACATTCCAACGCCTTAATGATGAAGTATTTCGCAGTCCCGAGTTTGTATACACAAACGTTAGACAACTGCCTCATTGCCAGTCCAGACAAGGAAACTCACCTTAGACACATGGACTTGGCGTTTGAAAGGTTACGCCAACATGGTGCTACCATCAATACTCACTCGACTTCCTGGGTCACACCACTGACTGCAAGGGTGTCCGCCCACTGGCTACTTAAGTCGAGGCGATATGTAACTTTCCAGAGCCACAGACAGTGAAAAGTCTGCACACTTTTAACGGTTTGGTAAGTTATTAGCGGCGGTTTATCCCCAACTGTGCCTCTCTGATTCAGCCATTGGCAAACCTTCTTCCAGGGAATAACAAGTCTATCGAGCTTGACGCGTCTTCTCGAAATGCTTCTACTCAGGTTAAAAAAGCTACTGCGGATGCCACACTTCTTATATATCAGGATTCAATGACTCGGTTAAGTATTTCGGTTGATGCATCAGACACTGCGATCGGCGCAGTTCTGCAACAATAATGATATAAATTATTATTATTTCCTTTAGTTCCTAGAGGAACATAGGGCTTCAGCCATGCGTCTCCATTGCGTTCGATTCTCTGCTAGAGTTTTCACCTGGCTCCAGGTCTGCCCACATGCTTTCATCTCCTCTTCACATGATCTCCTCCAGGTCACCCTTGGACGACCAACTCGCCGCTTCCCTTTCGGGTTCCACTCAAGGGCTTGTCAGAGTATGGCCAGCCAATCCATCTCCATTTTTTCCTGCCTATTTGTTTCACAATCGGCTCCTGGTTGGTTCGCTCATTGCCAGAGATCTTTGTTGCTGATCCTTTCCGGCCATCTGATCTTGAGTATTGAGCGAAGACATCTGTTAATGAAGGTCTGTAGCTTGTTTGAGGTGCTCTTTGTGACACGCCAAGTCTCTGATCCGTATAGTAGTACTGACTTCACATTGGAGTTGAAAATCCCGATCTTATTTTTGACGCTGAATGATGTTGTCCTCCACACAGACTTCAGAGTAATGAAAGCTTGCCTTGCTTTCCCGATCCTTGCTTTGATATCCTCGTCAGTTCCGCCTGTAGTTGAAACAATGCTTCCCAAGTAGGTAAAGGAGGTAGTTTCTTTCAGGTTTTTTCCATTTATGCTGATTGCTGTCTGTTGTTGTTGTTGGTGTTGGCCAGGGATCTTCATCACCTCTGTTTTTTCTATGTTCACCTGGAGTCCTATCTTTGATGCTTCTTCTGCCAACTTGTTACTTTTCACTTGCATATCTTCCAGTTTGTGGGAAATCAGGCATATATCATCGGCGAAGTCCAGATCCTCCAAGTTCTTTGTGTGAGTCCATTTTATGCCTGTTTCCTCATTGCCCGCTGTTTGTCGCATTATCCAGTCTACTGCAATCAGGAAAATCATTGGCGATAGTAGGCAACCCTGTCTTACTCCTGTCTTCACTTCGAAGGATTCCGTGAGCTTCCCGTTGTGGATTACTTGGCATGCAGCGTTGTCATACAACTGTTGGATGAGATGTATAATTGTCGGCGGCACCCCGTAGTAGCGAAGTAGTTGCCAAATCACCTCTCGATCGACGCTGTCGAAGGCCTTTTCAAAGTCGATGAAGTTGAGATAGAGAGGTGACTGCCATTCCAAACTTTGTTCAATGATGATCCGTAGTGTGGCGATTTGATCAATACATGACTTGTTACTCCTGAATCCAGCTTGTTCTGGTCGAAGTTTTTCATCCAAGGCTTGTTTGATCCTTTCCAGGATGATGCGGCTTAGTATTTTGCTTGGGATGGAAAGGAGCATAATTCCGCGCCAGTTCTTGCATTGACTTAAGTCTCCTTTCTTTGGTAGTTTGAATAGGTATCCTTTCTTCCAATCCTCGGGTACTTTGCCTTCTTTCCACACCTTCTCCAGTAGTGGCGTCATCAGGTCTGCTGTTGTCTCTGGGTCGACTTTCAATGCTTCTGCTGGGATTCCATCTGGTCCTGCTGCTTTCCCAGCTTTCAGCATCTTGATTGCCTTCAGGACTTCTGATTTCGTCGGGTGGTTGGTGTTCACTGGTAATTCTGCTTCCGTTGTTGGTTTTGTTGGGCGCGTTGTAGGTGGCGGTCGGTTTAGTAGTCTTTTGAAGTGTTCAGCCCAGTGTTTCCTTTGCTCCACTTCTTTGGTGATTGACTTTCCATTTTCATCCTTCACTGGCTTAATTTGTGACGAATTTTTGCCTGAATATATATATATATATATAAATATTGCTAGTAAAATCCAACAAGACCTAAATAGTCTATGTAACTGGAGTGAAAAGTGGCAGTTA